GGGGCTGGAATATCTCCAGAGAAGGAGACTCCACAGCCTCCCTGGGCAGCCTGGGCCAGGGCTCCGTCACCCTCAGAGGGAAGAAGTTCTTCCTCATGTTCAGCTGGAGCTTCCTCTGCTTCAGTTTGTGCCCGTTGCCCCTTGTCCTGTCACTGGGCACCACTGAGAAGAGTCTGACCCCATCCTCTTGACACCCACTTCACTTGGCACCTGAACTGTCTCCTGTGATGCCAGGAGCAAAGCTCGCATGTCTGTGCGCAGCAGACGGCCCCGTGGCAGCCTGGCTGCTGGGTTTGCAGCAGAGCTTTGCCTTACTGGGACGGCCAGAAGGGTTCCTCTCCCTGCCCTGTGCAGCCCTTGGCTTCTCTTCTGAAGCGGCTGGGTATCAGGAGGAGGGAGGGACGTTACAAATGGGCTGCGGCGCGGGTGATGAGGGCTTGTACGTGGACACCTGTCTACAAGACACTGGCCTGGGACGATGGATTCTTTTCAGTCTCTACCCGCCGGGCCCCATCTGGTGAAACGCTCCGTAATCCATTACCAGTCTCTCGGACTGTCATTTATCATGGAGCAAGACAGAGGAGGCCTGGCAGGGAATAGACGCTGCCCTTTATGCCTCCTCGCAGTCCAGCAGCATCCAGTGACATGTCATTATTATAATAGAAAGTGCGTCCCTTCTAGCCGCTTGGCACCGATTTGTTATCATTCTCCAGGCTGCCAGGGCGGTGGGGAGTGGGTGCAGCCGTGCGCGGAGATGGAGCAGACAGCGCAGTATCGTCCTGAGGAGGGATGGGAGGAAGGACGGGAGCTCTTCTGCTCCGGGGACTTCAGGATTAGAACGGGCCGGTGACTGGATGCAGGGTGCTGAGGGCTGGTCCTGCACTAGCTGCAGATTAGATATGCGGTGGGGCCAGAGGGACCACTGTAATCAGCTGCTGCGTCCTCCTACGGCAACCCTTCCTGGGGTTATTCCTGCCTCTGGTGACTGCAGACCGGTGACAGAGCCGAGGTGGGAGCCAAAGGATGGGGGGGACGCCTGAACACCAGGGTGACAACCCTGACTTCGGGGGTGCTGAGGACACAAAATGGTGACGGAGGCTTTGGAGCTGCTGGGGCTGAGCCCTGCTGCAGCCTCCGTGGGATTTGGGGCTTTTCTGCAGGGAGCGGGGGTGTTTTGCCACCACCCTCCGTGGAAATAGGTTTCCACCCTCTGGCTTGTAAGTTCTGTGGCACAAACTGCTAGAAGGCCAGAACCCAAAGCATTGGTATTTACCTTTCCCCCTCCCAAGAATATTTCCACCAGTCAGTCCCTGTTGCTCTGGTATAAATGGGAAGGGAAAACAAACTCTCTGAGATAAATATTTTGGCCGTATTATATTTCTGTGTGTGTGGGTACGTGGAAAATATTTCTTGTTCCCATCCAGCGGGCCTGTCTTGCCCTCCCTCTTGGACACAGCGGGCTCAGTGTGTGAGCGTCTGCGTGCAGCCCGAGCTCTCCCTTCCTCTCTTCTGGGCGCACCAAGAGACGAAGGGAAGACGACCATGGAGGAGAACGGCTTCCGTGGGAGAGGCGGTCGC